TTAGATTTATATTATTATATACTATCATTATTATTTTATTACATCCATTAAATTAAGTTGTTATTATTTTGAATTTGTTGACTCTATATCATGTCTGTTTATACATCTTCTATGTTTATTATAAATACAAATACCATTTTTTTTAGTATTTATTAAATTTCTTCTCACTAATGTGTTATATCATCTGTGAGTTCAATTTGAGTAATAAAATCTTACCAATCATAAAAGGTCAACTGAGAAAATAAAGGTATTTTTATCGATTACTTCTTCCACCTCAATTCAATTTAAAATATATTTTTTATCATTTGTATGTCCCACTTTAGAGTATTTATTTTCCGTTTTAGATAAAGTAATCATATAATATCAAAATATCCTTAACTTTTATTTAAAATTGCAAACATAGCATTCTATATACGATTACTTTATAGATAAAGTTAAAAGACAAAAAAATTAAAAAAAAGTACACATTTCCATTAATTAATCAAATATTATTAGTTTTCAATATACTACAAAACCAGAAAAGACCTGTTTAATTTGGGACGGATAGAATATAATTATTAAATTAATAAAACCAAAAACTTTAAAAAGAAAAATGTTTGCAATATTTAAATATAAGGGAAAAAAAATGTTATGAACATAACCAGTGCCTTGCTGGTTTGTCGACTCGATTAACTATCACAAGTATAGACATTAATTAATTATAAATATGTCATTTTTCTTAATAATTGTGAATATTATAATAAACTAAGCTCAAATCACAACATGAAAATGAACATCAAATTTCGACATGTTGGTCCATTGTCAATCAAGAATGTTTGCCACTCATACACTATATATACATATATATATATATATATATTTTGATAGGCATGAAGGATAATTAAAATTTTATTTGTAATGATGAAATACTTTTTGTTCTTATTTGGGAGCATTTTCGCTATTGTTTTTATAGACTCAGATTTTGATTCGTTCATTTGAAACTAGATTCAATTACTCAAGTATAAGATGAAGTTATATATAAATCAGCAACCAATATATTCATTTTATTATTTTTAGTAATAGATAGTTAATATAATTATACCAATATACTAATATCTTATTTTATTTCATATCAAGTTGATTTATATTTATTAAATAGGATTTGAATTAGTAAATTTTATCAAATATAAGAAAAATATCAAAAAAAAAAAAAAAGATAGTAAAATAAAAAAAAAAAATTATTACGGGCCTATTTGGATTGACTTTAAAAAATAAGCAAAAGCAGAGTTTTGTGTTTGGATGAATATGTATAAAAACAGCTTTTATAAAAAAACTGTACGGATGTAATAAAATTGAAAGTGTTTTTAAACAGTTAAAATTACTCAAAATGACACGATGTTAATATAATATTATTTTTCTATAAAAATTTTATAATTTATTTTTTAAAATTTTATTGATTATATTTAAAGATTTTAGTTATAGAATAAAAAATATATTTTTAAAATTTAGTTATTTTATATTTTAAAATTTTAATTTAAAGATAATATATAAATTAAAAACAAATTTTACAATCCAATTTTTAATAATTTGTATTTTAAAATTTTATAAATTATATTAATAATTTTATTATAATTAAAATTTATATACTCCTATTTAAATTTGATATCTTAATTATAATTTTAAATTTTAATTAAAGTATGATATAGTAATTAAAAATAATAATTTAGTTTTTATTATAATATAATATATATATATTTATATCATATATAGAAATTAATTATTTTTATATTATAATATTGTATATTATTATTATTATTATTATAAAGGATAAAACATTAATTTCAACCGAAAAAGTACTACTTTTGCTTATTTCAAAAGCTCCCCTCAAGGTGCTTCTGAAAAATACACTGCCTCAAAAATTGCTTGTGTTTTTTTGACATAAATCAATGCAAACAAATGAAAAATATTTTTTCTAGAAGCAAAAGCCAAAAAGCTATTGTAAAAGTCAATTCAAACGGGTCTACCTCCATCCAAAACCAATCTATTCATTTACCTTTTCATATTAATTTTTGAATATTAATTATTATATAAATATGTAATACAAATTAAGAAAAAATGACAAAAATAATTCTATTAGTATCTTATAATACTAATGTAATAACATTTGTATAAAAATACAAATATAAATATATTTTTAATAATGACGCCAAATAAAAATGAATAGATATAATACTCCCTTCGTCCCGCTGCAAGGTTGCCATTGGCTTTTTATATGTTGATCTTTGAATATTAATTATTATATCAAAACGTAGTAAAAATCGAGAAAAGAAAAACAAGAATATGTTTATTAGTCTCTTATAATACCAGTACAATAATATTTTAAAAATAAATTATTCAAATATAAAGATATTTTTTATGTCAAATATAATGACGCAAAAATCAAATGATAATCTTACTGCGGGACGGATGGAGTATATCATTGGTTATGAGAGGCACACATTAACATATTGAAAGCTAAGCAATAGGAATATTATTTTTCTGTCAAATTGAAAGCTAAGCAACCGGTGTGCGAAGCCGTTACATAAACAAGATTTGTTAAATCTTTACCAGGGATGTCAAATGGGGCGGGTTAGCCCCGGATCCACCCCGGACTCGCTCCGGATCCGTTCTCAATGGTGCGAGCTTGGGTTTAAATAATATGTTTCGGGGCGGGTTGTGAATTTAAAATTTTAAATTCGGCCGGGTTCGGTGCGGATTATGGATTTTACTAAAAACCCGCTCCAATTCGGACCCGGACCTGAACCTGGAGATTTTTTAAAATTATTATAACTAATATATATGTACATTTATATAATAAAAATATATTATGTATTTACTTAAATAATTTTAAATATAAAATTCAATTAGTCGCCTGCTCCAAATAATTTTTAAAAATTATTATACCTAATATATTTATATTTATATAATAAAAAGATATTATTTATTTATCTTATTTTTATGAATCAATATTCGATTATTAAAAAAAAATTTATTATTATATATTTTTTAAAAAAATGGGTTTGCCAGGTTGGCCCCGAACTCAGACGGAGCGAGCCCTGGGGCCGGTGGAAGCGGAGCAGGGCAGGTCTCAGAGCCTAATATTTTCTAGCGGGACGGGTCTCAGGGCCTGCAGAACCCGTCCCGAACCCGCCCCGTTGACATCCTATGTGTAACCAAATAATGCTGAACAATGATAATATTACTCAAATGGATCACGGTCTTCTGCATGTTAAGGATTCGATCCAATAAGTTTTTAACGTAGAAATTGTGGCCCATTAATATGATTTTTACTTTTTTTGTAATTCTTTTATTATTCTTTTTGTAATCAAATTTATTTTTATTTTTTCTTTTTTAATTCGTCAGTTCAATTTATTTTCTATTATTAATTTTGACGAAATAAATTACTCTTCGTTCAACATTTATTTGTAATAAATACATCATTACCTTTATTACAATGGATGAGTATAATTTAAATGTCATCCTAAAATTTGTATTAATAATTAATGGGTCCGAGAATATTTGCATATTTTTAAAAATATATTATTATTTTTTAATCTACTACACCAACTATTTGAATTAGGATTGGAGAAATAAAATTTGAATAATTTATTATAATAATAAAAATATATTTTGTAGAATTTATATCGGATCAATTAATTATTAATACAAAATTTATTACGATATTTTTTTACTTGTGTCACTCCAAAAAAAAAAGAGCCGGTAGTATAGATTTATAAGTACAATATATGAAATATTGAACATACCCGAATATTAATGATTACAATTTTTTTGCTATAACATTTAAACGATTTATTAATATGTTAAAATATGTCAACTGAAACTATATATTTATATATGTAAAATATATTTAATATTGTAGAAATTTCAAATAAGATGGTTCACAACAAACATAGACTGAGTCTGTTTGCGAAATAACTTTAAATTTTATACTTTCTTAACATATTTTATGGTCAAATTTAAGTTATATTACATTTAAAATTTAAATTAAAATATTGATATATATAGTATATTACCTTAATATTGTTTCAATTAAATCATTACAATATATTCATACCTGTGTGTGTGAAGTGAGTTTTGCATAAATTTTTAAAATTATTTTAACTTTTTATTTATTCATGTGATGTATAATATTATTTATTTATTTATTTTATATTTTACTATAAAAATTGTGAATATATAAAAATTATAACTTACTACTACCTTTGTCCCGCAAAGAGAATATCATTTGATTTTTACACGTAAATTTTTAATATAATATAATATTAGTTTGTATTAAAATAGATCAAAATATTTTTATTTGTATTGTATAATATAAAAATAGTGATATTTGTTTAATAAATTGTAAATTGTAAGGATATTTATTATGTTAGGTAGGTAGTACAATACCTTATTTTGGAACAAACAAAAATGAAAAATAATATCATTCTTATAGTACGGAGGAAATATAATTATTTGAAGATTATTCTTTTAAATTTATTTTTGTATTTATATTTAAATTATTCAATATGTTTGTTATGGTTTTGTTTTTTTGCCCAAACAATTTTTTGTATAACACAATTTTCAATATGTATTTTTTTTTATGCAAAATTAATATTTAATATAGAATATTAATTTTATATTACATGATAGTGGATTTCTTCGAACATAAAATACTTCTCGTGGAGATAAATTACACAAATCTTGTTTTGATTCCTAAATCCCCCTCCTCAAAGGCTGTGGGTGATTTCCAGCCCATCGTTTATTGCAAGACTATTTACAAAGTGACTTTTAAGATCGTTGCCAATTGGATTTGTAAGATCCTTGCCAATTGGATTTGTTATGATTGATGGAATTAACTTAATTTCTCAAATTATAATTAAAGTACAATATTATATATATATAAGAGATATATTAGGTAGGGATATATATCTAAATATATACAATATATATCAGCATATATATATATCAACATCCCCTCAAACTCAAGGTGGAACGGTGGAACCCAACTTGAGTTTGCTAAAAAATGACTGAAAACGGCTTGAAAGATGAGGCTCGGTGAAACCGTCTGCAATATAATCAGCAGAAGGAATGAGAGACAAGGAGATGTTGCAATGAGAAACGTGATGACGTACAAGGTGAAAATCGATCTCAATGTGCTTCGTACGCTCGTGGAAGACATCATTCGTCAAAATCTTCATGGCGCTCTGACTGTCGCAATGAATAATAGTGGCGGAGGACTGAGGCACTCCGAGATCAGCCAACAGCCAACGAAGCCATAGAAGCTCCGTAGTGGTGTCGGCAAGAGCTCTATATTCGGACTCTGCACTGGACCGGGAGACAACCGTCTGTTTCTTGCTACGCCACGAAATAAGTGAGTCGCCAAGAAAGAAGCAAAACCCGGTGGTCGAGCGGTGATCAGAGGGATCTCCCGCCCAATCAGCGTCAGAATACCCGGTCAAAACTAAGGAGGAACGAGCTGAATAATGAAGCCCATGGAGAAGAGTACCTTTGATGTAATCCGTAGAACAGCAGAATGATAAGTCGTCCGAGGGGCAGACATAAACTGACTGACGATATGGACGGCATAGGCAATATCCGGTCGAGTGACAGTCAGGTAGATCAGACTTCTCACCAGCTGACGATACAGAGTAGGATCATTGAAGGGGATGCCGTCCATCGGAGTAAGACGACAATCAGAATCTAGAGGCGTAGAGGCAGTCTTGGAGTCAGTGAGACCGGCACTAGACAGAAGGTCTGAGGCATACTTGGCTTGAGAGAGATAATATCCGTCGAAGGTGTCGGAGATCTCAAGTCCTAGGAAGTATCGAAGAGGCCCTAAGCTCTTCATCTCAAACTGGCGGTGTAGATGAGCCTGTAGCTTAGAGATACCTGATGCATCATCTTCCATAATGATCATGTCATCCACATAAAGTAGCAGAACAGTAATTTCAGCTGACCCACGACGAAGGAAAAGAGCCGAATAATGATCGCTGGAAGTAAAGCCAAGTTGGAGTAGAGCAGAGCTAAATTTCGAAAACCAAGCTCGAGGCGCCTGTTTCAAACCATACAGGGCACGGCGAAGTTTACATACCTTAGAAGACGTAGGAAAGCCAGAATGAGGAGATATATAGATGTCCTCGGATAGATCACCATGCAAGAACGCATTCTTGATATCGAGCTAGTGTAGGGGCCACCGACAAGCGGCAGCGATAGCGATAAGACAGCGGACGGAGATGAGATGAGCAACCGGGGCAAATGTCTCCTCATAGTCTATACCATACTGCTAGGTGTAACCTTTGGCTACCAAATGCACCTTGTAGCGCTCGATGGATCCATCAGAGTGAGTTTTGATTCGGAATACCCACTTGCAACCGATAGGTTTCTTGCCAGAGGGAACATAAACCATATCCCACGTATGGGTTTTCTCCAAAGCCTGCAACTCCTCAGACATAGCCTACCGCCACAACGGATCCGCATACGCCTCACGAAAGGACCTGGGCTCATGGTGGGACAAAGTGGCAGAGAAGCAGTGATAATCGAGTAAATGAGTAGGTAAGTGACTAACCCGAGTGGAACGGAGAGGGCCAGGATCAGGGTCTGAGGTTGAAGTAATGTCAGGCTTTGGTAATGGTGATGCATCGGAGTCGAGAGCAGGAGTAGGCTCGGGGATCGACATCGGTTCAGGAGGTGCAACCGGGACAGCGTCAGGAGCGGGGGACGGGGACGCATCATCGGAAGGAAATAGAGGTGGAGAGGACAAGGTAAAGAACGGAGACGAACGATGAAAGGGGACTCAAAAGTGGGACAAGGCAGAGAACTTAGTATTCTCCCAGAATGTGACATGACGAGAAACACGTAGCCTATTGGAAATGGGATCCCAACAACGATAACCCTTATGCTCTAACCCGTATCCCAGGAAGCAACACAGACGCGTGCGAGGTTCCAACTTAGTGTGCTCATGGGGAGGGGGGAGGACAAAACTGACACAACCGAAAGGGCGGAGGAGACTATAATCAGGGGCTCGATTAAATAGTCTTTCAAATGGACTAACATTAGCCATGACAGAGGAAGGGACACGATTTATAGTGTGGACAACAGTGAGTGCGGCTTCCCCCCAAAAACGATCCGGACAAGAGGCAGATAAGAGAAGGGTGCAGACTGTATCGAGGATATGACGGTGTTTACATTCGGCGCGACCGTTTTGTGGAGAGGTGTATGGGCAAGAGCGTTGGACAACAGTACCCTGATCAGATAGGAAACAAAGGAAGGAAGAATCGGTAATACTAAAGAGCATTATTTGTGCGAGGAGTTTTTATGGTGGAGGAAAATTGGGTATGTATCATTTTAGCAAAGTCCAAATAAATATATGGAAGTTCAGAACGCTTCCGCATAAAGGAAATCCATGTAAAGCGAGAATAGTCATCAATAAAAAAACACAAAATAACGAGAACCATTCATAGACACAACGGGCAAAGGTCCCCAAATATCAAAGTGAACTAATGAAAACGGTGTATCCGCAACGGAAGTACTATGGGGAAATGACAAGACAGGTTATTTTCCCAACGAACAATCCACACAATTAAAAGACTCAAACCTGACAAAACCCAAAAGACCCTGACTAATCAAAGACCTGAGTTTATTGGAGGACGCATGACTGAGACGATGATGCCACTGAAGGCAGGATGGTGTCGAGGTGGTGGCAGCTGAGATAGAGGGACGAGGGAGCTGGAGTGACTCAAGTTCAAATAAGCGGCCCGTCTTTCAGCTCTTCCCGAGGGTCCGTCCGGTTTGCGCATCTTGAACCTGCACACTAGTAGAAGAAAAGATCATTGTGAGACATTGATCAACTAATTGACCAACGGAAATCAGATTCAAGGTTAATTGGGGAATACAATATGTATAAATGAGGGATAAGGACGAGGTGGATGTATGTCCCGTATGGGTGATGTGCATATGAGTACCATTTACGGTAAGGATAGAGGGTAGGGATGGTTCGGTGGATGTACAGGTCATATGATTACTGCAGGCATAATCAAAATACTAAAGAGAGTTACCTGATGTGGTAGACATGGCTGTATTAGAAGATAGAACTTGTTTAACAAGAGCCTCCAAGTCCTGAATCGTAGGAGGCGCAGACGCAGGCGTGGCGGAGGCTGTGATAAAGGAGGTACTAGACTGAGGAGGTCCACGAACATGCCGAGGCTTGTAGTTACTGCTGCCAAAGTGAGACGGCCTAGTAGGACAATATTGTATAGTATGGCCTAAAACATGAAAGTAGTGACACTCCACCTTGGGGCAATGACCGAAGTCATGATCAGAAGACTGACATCGTTTGCAGCTGAGGGAACGACTCTGAGTAGGAGTTCGGGCGGTGACTGCAAGAGCAGAATCAAGCAGAGGAGTCTTGGCTAGGTGGAGACGAGTTTCCTCAAAAAGAATCTCCTGAATAGTTGCATCCAAGGTAGAAAGTGGGTGCCGATGTAACAAAGAGGCACGAACTGCCGCACTCTGGACGCAAAGCCATCAAGACCTGAATGAGGCGAAGATGATCAGGACTGATCTCAGCTTGATCCAACCGATGCCAAAGGGGTTTCACTTGCGCAAGGAATTCGTTGACATATTGTCCTGGTTCCTGTTTTAGATCATGGAGAGTACTCCATAACTGATAATAGTGTGCCAAACCAGTAGCACGGAAGTGGACTGCCAAGAAATCCCACGCTGCCTTGGCAGTTTCAAATTGGGCAAGCTGCACATGTATCGCCAGAGTGGAAGTATTGCGCAATCAAGTAAGAATCCGATGGTTCTTACTGTCTCAATCGTCCAATTTTCCAATATAAGATTCAACAACTTTGGCGGTAGGTGCAACTTTCTTTGAGACGCATATTTACTACCTTTGGGACCATGATATTTGGCTGCGGCAGCCATCCCACTTAGATGTGTTTTTCATGAGGTCAATCCTTAAAATCGAAGACAGTTTCTACTCTATTTTCGGCCTTCTTGGTCGAACTAAATTCTACTTTGAGCAATGGTTGGGAAGGGGTAAAAGCGACATTAATCCATCATACAACATTTTGAGAATGCGTGGTAGTAAATGACAGCTCTTTAATCTGACTTGCGATTCATTTATCCTTTGAGGTAATTTTGAACGGTGTTTTAAAAATATATCTATGTCAAACGGAATTAATAATATATGAATATAACATAACAATGAAAGTCACTCATAAAGGGAACAGTAGAAGTACCCCAAACATTATAATGATTTAGCGAAAATGGTTTACTTGCGATTGATATATTTTCTGTAAAGGATAAGGATGGTTGTTTCCCAAACGATAGTGTAAGCAATCAAATGACTCAATGATAGTATAAACCAAATGACTCTTACTAACTAGAGACTGAATTTTAGAGAAAGATGCATGACCAAGATGAAAGTGTCACCGGAGACTAAGGGAATAAAGGGTAGTAATAGGAGTATGAGCAGAATAGTCGACCAACCTTTCAACCTGTCCAATTGAGGCTTCTGATCCACCTCCGACCTCGTCTCCAGATGTTGATTCGACTATGGTGCCTAGATATGTCATACCTCGTTGATCAAATCAAGTAAGTCATCCACCTACTCATTTGTGTGATTATCATTGTTTTATATTATCCTATCTCGGCACAATACAACATATCATAAACATACTTAGTCTGAGACATATAATATCCATTGGGACCATCAGAATTCTCAAGATCCAAAAAATACCGAAAGTGGCCAAGACTTTTCATTTTAAAATGCTACAAAACATATTTCGTAAATCAGATATACGAGACTAATCGTTCCTAATGAGAATCATCCACACTTAACCCGACCCAAGAATCTTTATTGATAAGCTTAGGTCAAATTATATGCTCGTATCGTATCTTAAATTATGCAACTGAGGTCAAATTACTCTTGTAAGACATGTCAATTTTTGCAAGATTTTTAAATTATAGTATTTAGTTTATAATAATCTTTTTAAATATAATACTCCCTATCTCTCATTTTAAAGAGGCCTTTTGAAATTTTGTAATATATTAAAAAATAATAATATTTACTGATTAGTGATAGTGTGTAAAAAGTTTTGATATTTTTTATCATTTGATTTATGTATAAAGTAATTATATGTGTAATGATATATTTGTAATTTAGTTAAAATGTAAAAGTATTTTAGTATTAGTGTATGATTATTTTTATTAATTAAAATTAAAAAGTGATATTTTGAGTGGGCAAACAAAAACTGTAAAAATGATACCTTGAGTTTGGATGGAGAAATATTTAATTACTACTATTATTTTTAATTCAAAATATTTATGTATAAATTAGTATATATATATATATATGATACTCCTTTTGTCTTATAAGAAGGGTGTAATTTTCTATTTTTGTGAGGGTGTCATTTTTTAATTTAGTAATTGTATCACCTATCTAATATAATAAATATATTTACAATTTATAATGTGTATTATACAAATATCATTTTTTTTATATTACATAATTCTAATAAGATTTTTTTATTTTTTTTGTTTCTACTACATTCAATATAGTATCAATATTAAAAAATAAGTTCAAAAAGCAAATGCTATTTTTCTTATGGGACTGGAAGAGTATGTTATTTAAAGTGCATAAAATATACGTAAATTTACTTTATTGTATGATTTTTTTTTGTTAGCTATAAAAATAATTTTATGTTATATAGAAATAAATATTATTAAATTTTTATTATAATATTATAGTTATAAAATAAATAAATTGATAAATAATTTAAACATTCTTTTTTTCAAATTTATTTAAACTTTTTCATGAAAAATCAAGTTAATAGCATTGAAAATATAAGTATATATATATAATTCTAATATAACTAAACCATCTACTAATAAATATATATATATATATATATTGATGACTTGTTTATTTAATATTATTTTAAGAATAAAAGTGTATATGTTCAGTTTTAAAGTTTATTGGCATATAATAGAGCTATTGATAGCTTTAAAAGAAAAGTTATTTTACATAAATTGATTTTAGTTTGAGTTTGAATCTTTTTATAATAATATTTTAGTGAAATATTTTTAATGAGTAAAGATAACATAATTTATTGGAAATTTTTAATTCGTATAATAGTATGATTATTTTTATGCTAAGCCAATTAAATTATACGCAAGAAATAAAATATTTAGTACTTATTTTGTTTCATAATTATAGACTTTTTTTATTTCTCTATCCTATAACAATTGATATATTTTTATTT